CCTGCCTTGTGAAAATGTGATATATTAAAAAGGTTAAGAGTCAACTCTCACTGTTCTAAGCCTTCATGCATCAGAGAAGTCTTTTATAACCAGTTTTATAACCATCTAGTCATCTACTGCCTCCCGCTCTGCTGCTCCTGCCTGGCTCCTGTCTCTGCTGGCTCTCCAGGCCTCGAGCCATCGCTGATGAATTGTAGCAAAACAACAAGTGAGGAGCCAAAAACAACAGCAGACTGGATCAAGTTATCCATCACCCATAGACCAATACTTCATTTCCCGCGCTGTACACTGAGTGTTTGGTCAAAACACCATGACTGAAGTATACTGGAACGAATACTCATACCGGGACTCTGCATGTGAATACCACCATGGGTGTATTGGATGTTAATTTGGAGTTAATGCAGCATGTTGTACGTAGCATGTAGAAACACTGGTTGTACGTAGCATGTAGAAAACTGGCGTAGTACTGGAAAAATCAGCAAGTATAAATATACTGTACATCCAGAAAGTCTTCAGTCCCCTTCACTTTTTTCACGTTTTGTTATGTTGCAGTCTTGTGCTAAAACCATTTAAATTCATTTCCCCCTCATCATTCCCCCCACACTCAGCACTCCATAATGACAAAGTGACAACACAATTTTAGAAATTTTAGAAACTGAAATATCACATTGATATAATTTTTTAGACCCTTTGCTATGGCACTTTATTGAACTCAGGTGCCTCCATTTCTCTTGATCATCTTCATCATCATGATTGGAGTCCAAATTCAATTGATTTGACATGATTTGGAAAGGCACACACCTCTTTATATAAGGTCTGACAGCTGACAATGTAAAAACCAAGCCATGAGGTCAAAGGAACTGCCCGCACAGCGCAGATCTGGGGAAGGCGTCAAAGAAATTCTGCTGCATTGAAGGTTTCCAACATAGTTCTTGTAGGGAAGAAGTTTGGAGCGACCAAGCCTCTTCCTAGAGCTGACGCCTAGCCAAACTGAGAAGGGCCTTGGTAAGAGCTGTGGCCAAGAACTCAGTTGTCACTGGCTGAGCTCCAGAGATAGAATAACATATTTTATGCTGAAATGGGCCGTTCTGCTTCTTGAGTACTTTTACTTTTGGTTCCTCTGTGTACATTTTGATGCTAAGACTTTTGTACTTTTACTCAAGTAAGATTTTGTTTGTATGACTTAAAGAGTATATCTTCACTGTAAGTAAAGTAAGATCTGAGTACTTCTCCCACCACTGCTCTTTACAAAGGTAAAGAGCCTGAATTAAAGTGCACAGTTGCAAACATTTTCAATACAATTAGGTTTGTCTGTAATTCTGATCTCTTCAAGTAGTTTGGATACGAGGCTGAGCTCTCAAATTTCTGCGAGATCTTTTCTCTGCTGAACAGATTCAAATATGAATCCAGAAGTGCTGATGAGATGAATTAATGTAATGAGTTGGAAACAGACCAGTGCAGGCAGACACATGCTACAGTACAAATATTCCTCCGACCTACATACCTTGCCAGTTTAAACATGTTTGCTCCCAGAAAACAAATATTCAAAGTAATGTGCCAGGAAAGTGTTACATTTTACTTTTACATTTGCACATTTATAGAGACGGCCTCAAATAAAACTCTGCAGCTGCTGAAATCTACTGGTTTACTGGTAATCTGTGAATCGTCACACCAACCTATTGCAGAAATGTACTAATTCTTAAATGCAATCAACATTCAGACAATAGATTGATTTATTAATATTAGGGGCTACCGTGGCTCAGGACGTAGAGTGGGTTGTACACTAATTAGAACGTCGGTGGTTTGATCCCCGGCTTACCAAGTGTATGTTTGTGAGATGTTTAGAACAACCGCTGTGTGAATGGATGAATGCGACCTGTAATGTAACGTTAAGACTAGAAAAGCGCTATACAAATGCAATCCATTTAATAAAACATTGTGCAGATTTGCAAAAGCTAAAAGTAACAGAAAGTGAATAGTTCCTGTGGGGTGAAAAGGAGTTCATGCTGAGTTGGCGAAAAAGGAAAATCCTCCTGTTACTCCAATTTAGGAACATTCACACATTATTCCAAGACTGCACCTTCACAACTAGCCTTGTGGTCACACCATATAAAAACCCCTGAATAAACAATTGTGTTACATATCTGCAACACTTCATGAACAACTAAAACCCAGATACTGACAGACAATGTCGCTCCTTCTTGATGAAAAAGTGTCACTGGCTTATCAGCCATTTCCCCAGCAGTTTGTAGATACTACTGTGGTTCTTTTCTCCCAGCAGGACACATTGTAGCGCTCAATATTCTCAGTACCGCTGGCCTGATGTTAACAGTTTCTCCCACTCGGTTGTTCATCATTACAGTCCGAGTGATACAATGTGATAGCGACATTAATCTTGAAATGTGTAACTAATGAATTGCCCCACTTTATCTGACTTTCAAGATTTCATGAATAACAGAAACTTCCCATTGAACTGCTTCAACTATTAATAACACTGTAATTCATCATAGAGAAAGTTGGACTGAATATTTTGTTAACAGCTCACTGCCCGAAGCACTTGTAGTCTTTAAGCTGAGACATCTACTCTGTGTGGAAATTAGCTTTAAGGCAGGCACACATCCACACACACACACACACACACACACACACACACACACACACACACACACACACACACCCACACGCATGCACACGCACACACACAAACACGCACACACACACACACACACACACACACACACACACACCCACACACACACACACACACACACACACACACACACAGACACACATATAATAATGCATATAATATAATAATAATAATCATGCTTATACCCTTACAGCTTTACCAGTAAGGCTACCAAAGTCATGTGCATGGACTCACATAAATCTGAGTCTGAGAGTTTAGAACATGAGATGATTGCTTGTTGACAAAGTTGATATTTTGGCCTGAGGGTGGAGCTAGAGGACAGCTCATGGACATAGACTGTTTATTAAAAGAGTTTGCTTTTGAGCCATGTGTGAAATTTCATGTTGATGCTAGTGGAAAGGTTTAATAAAAACATTAGGAGCTGTGAACGTCAAACAGCAAATTAAATGCAAATCTGTACATGGTTTTCAAGATAATTTGTCTTGGACAAATTGTATGGACAAGGCGAAATGTTCACCGGACTGAGAGACCAAAAGAACCATCACATGTCCACCGAAATCCTACCAATCATTCCACTGCAGTCTGATCAGTGGTTGTTGCTGTGAACCGAAGCGCTGGAGACGCAAACATCATCATCTTGAAGCACTAGAAGAGCAAGACTACCAAAGTTAGTTTGTAAAACTAACCAGGCATTGTAATGACATTTGGCTGTAGGTTATTCACACGGGAAACAATAATGGGGAATGAAAATATTTTAAGGCAGGGACGATTACGCTATACCCTTTGGGAATTTGATCATTGAGTTACATGACATCATTAAAGAAAAAAAAAATCTAGGGTTCAGGGAGAGATAGACATTGATTTAGAGCAATAGAGTCAGCCTTTATGGAAAGCAGACATTCTCAGAAGCTGCCACACGACATCAGATTTGCATGTATGTGTCTGATAACCCAACTATCTGCGGTACTGAATACAACACGCCTGGAAGCAATTGTATCAGATGTATGGGTCCAAATATTAACCAGTGTGTCACTGTCTGTGACAATTACACTAAATTAACATGATACAGTGTTTGAAATATAAACAGCAATATAATCATATAAATGTACATGGTTAAGGACTGAAAACTCTTATAATAAAATGGCAAAGAAGAGAAATTATGATGATGCGATCAAGCTGTGACTCCTTCGGTTATAAACAAGTCATAGGGCACAAATGTAAGATATTACAACTAAAACTGAGCTTATGATATTATATGAGATATATAACAGATGTACATCTAGACAGCACTAGTGGCGGAACATGCACAAATTGCCCTGAGGGTGGCACCAGAGGAGAGACCAATCAGAGTAAGCAAGCAACAGACTCTGGAGCCACTGGCACGGAAAGTATGGGGGAGCGGAGACGCCAAATAAACCTTTCAGTTGAGGGATTTAAATGGAGGAAATTTATTGATTTAAACAGTTCGATCGATCACTTCACCCAAGATGTGCATTATGAGACTTGATAATGGGATAGTGTATGGAGGGAAACACTGCAGTCCGGACAACACAGGAGAGCACACACACTGCTCAGTTTGCTATTTTTTATTATACTGTGGGAAAGATGATAGAAATTTAAATATTGCACATTACAATGCACAGGAGTCCTTTTATAAATAAATAACATCTGTATTTGATTATTTACATATGCATCTCCTGCATGTCTTTAAATTTGTAGGCCTGGGCAGTGTAAAAGGAGCCACCACTCACACCATGAGAAAGTAATGGACAAACACCATTAGATTAAAAAATCAATAACGCTGAGCGCTGCAGAGAAAAAAGTAAATACAGGGGAAAACCAGATTGTATCAGTCATAACAGTAACGATGACTGAAGCTGCTCCAGGAAGTTATGGCTGTATACGCCCACCACCCATGTGGGAGCGCTAGTATTGGATGTATAGTTTCTCCAGCATCTCCTGGGGAGGAGGAAGAGACAGTAACATGGCAGCAGGTGCAGCCTTATGTTAACATGCTAAATATTACATGTCCTTAGCACAGCAGAGTCAGAGCTGAGCCTGACAGTGTACTGTGGTTAACACAGTACAGTTTGCTGATGAAATCACAGGAAGTCTGACAATGTAGAGCTGAGCCTGACAAGCTGAGATGTCCTACACTTTTACTCATAACACAAGCCTTTCCTCTGCCGCCACCCTACGGCTAAATTTGAGAAGTTTGCAACGCTAGCAGTTTTGTTTCCTGTCATTTAATGTCCATTACCTCCTTACAGAGCTGAAACTGGCTGTTATTCCTCTTTTATATGAATATATATATATATATATATATATATATATATATATATGTATAATATATATGGCAGTTCCTGCAGCTTTATTCCATGAGTACGCAGTTGTGCTACAAATTCCAATTCCAAAATATGATCAGAGTGTGCTTTTTTTAAGCAGTAAACAGAGCACCTTTATACTCCCCTGCACCTTATTTTAGTGAAAATAGTTTCTGATATTTTGTATCTAAGAGGCTGGAATGCGATAAGCTCTGGATGTCATCAGCTGATATGTCCTAAGAAAATACATGAGATGAAATTCTTCACACATGCCGTATTAACAGTCTGTTATCATGATGTTACTGGAAAGTATAAAGTGAAACTAGACCAAGTCAGTGAGGCTGGAGCGAGGAGAAACCGAGGCATCTGTCATGGTGAGAAACTCAACCCAGTTCTGATAGAAGCCACGTGAATACTCTCCTGTGTCGATGACGAGTCCCCACAGGCGGCTCTGGCCCGTTTTGTTCCTCAGAGCCAGCTGAGCCTCCCGCTCTGTCACATTGAAGCTGATATTAAGAACTTGTACCACTAACAGGTAAAGCAATCCACCCGTGACAATGCTGCTGTACCAAGCACAGGTGAAGCAAAGTGCCGTGCTGTAAACAGAAAGAAAGCACGAGTATAACATCACCAGCAATGTGATAGCTATAATGTTTGAAATGCATTTACAAGTACAAGGCTATTGGCCCCTTTGTCTTGGAAAAATCCTGTGAACGCCATGTTAGGTGTTCTTAATACTTCTGCCATGCAATTATATAATTTAATAAGTATTAACCAATAATAATTTACAGTAAATATGAAACAATCCAAAGAGAATGAGAGAAAATTGATTTCTCCTTTCTTCTCTGCTATTTTCCTATAGACTATAGAAAGCAAGGCATAAATACACTGTTGCTCATAAAGTTGGAATAGAATTTTTTTTACCTCTTTCCATGAAATGATTGTGACAATGTGATTTATTTCATTTCACCTGGGTAATTGAGACACATAATGTAATCATTGCACCTGGTCAAAAGTGATTACTGATGCATTTAAACAGGAATAAACAGAGGATTGTGTCTGAAAACAAAATGATTCCAACTTTATGGGCAACAGTATATATATATATATATATATATGTATAATCATTACCTTATAGCAGTTTAACAATGACACAAGCTGTAAAAGTGTGGTTTGAGTTTTTCTCTGGCAGCTGTTCAAAAGGCTGGGACTTCTATACACTTTTATGAACAGTAATAACTCTATAATTTCCAGACGCAATCATCCTTAAATTGTTTCACACCATCAATGAAAAAATTATAGTGCTCATAAACCTGTATTAAAGAAGGGACAGTTGAATTTGTGTCCTTGCTAATGCTACTGATTTGTGCCAGTTTCACAAATGTTAATAATGATTGCAAGAACTTTTACAATATGGACTTCTAATTTACTCATACATTTAGTTTCACAGTCACCTGTGGCTGTGGTGGAGACAGAATGCATGAAGAGTGCTGTACCTAGACTGACTGTAGACGCCGGGGCAGTAGAGGAGAGCTGTCATGAGATACTGCCGAGGACAGAGGCTGCAAAGCACCAACTTGATCCCATACAGAGAGGTCAACACGAACACAGAGAGGGTCAGCAGGAAACTGCGGTGGTTTGTCTGTCCAACACAGCTGTTTATCCTACAACACCTCAATGCAAACACACAACACAGACACACAAGACAATGCAACAGTTAGAGCCTGATAATCTGGCTCCATACACCTGCTGTATTTAAAATGAAGCAGTAGAAGTCGTATTTTAAATTTACATTTGGAAAACTTTTAAAAACTATAATAACACATAATATCATGTATTCTAGTTTGGTGATAATAGAGTATCAGTATATTCATACATCATGCCAGTGGTTCAGGACATTTTATCTGCAGTGAATAACAAACAGGAAAAATGACTTAGTATATACATCTCTTAGCCTTTTAGGTTGTAACTCTATTGCAGAGAACTGTTCCTAAACTAGGAGGCAGTTGTGCATTATGTGTAAAATGATTTATTATTATAATATAAAACTGACATCATCATCTTTTATGATCCTGGCAGCGCGCACTGCAGGAAGGCATCTCAGCCTGCCGAGGCACACAAACAATTGGACAATAAAATAACTGTTAAAGCCCTATGCAGTGATGGCCTCGTCCTCCTGGTTGCCCCGAGATGGACCCCGGTGTGCCTGCTCTCCACTCTAAGATTAGATTGGAGGTGTTTTTTTTATTGAGAACAGTTTTCACTTCTTTTTTTCGTCTTTGTAAGAAAATAGTTCCAATTTAAAACTGTTCAAAGTAAGATCGGTGGATCACCCTGATGTCTGTTGGGCATCACTTATTTTGTTTGGAGGTGAGATATCTCCAAAACTGGCAACATAAAACCAAACATGTCTGCATGGGTAGATGCAACTATAGGTGAGGGTGTGTGTGTGCACTTTGCATAAAATTGTAAGGGTCTAATGGTTAATAATTAACCTCTATTATTAACAGCAGGAGTCTGCTGAAGATGTGAATGTTGCTGTGTAATTACAGGGCAGTTATCTAATCCATCACAATTCAACATTACTTTCATGATCTTGTGTATAAATTCCATGCAGAGAAGTGCAACAGTCTTTATACATATGTAAGTTAAATCCAACGCACCAGATACAGTGGTGGTCCAGACGCTGGACGCAGGATCCACAGGTTCGACAGTGTCCAGCCCGCGGGGGTCGCATTATTTTGCACACAGGACACCTGCTCCATTTTGTTGTCAGGGTCGCTTCTGTTGTCTGCAACTCTGCTGCAGACCCGGCCGAGGAGGAGGCCGCCGATTGGATGGCTCCATTAGCATGTGTGGAGTCCTTGTCCTGACTCTGGCTGCGCGCTTCAAGTAGGGAAGGGGTCACAACTCCCGGGCCCCTCTTGGTCTGAATAAGAGAGCCGATTGTGAGAATCATCCCGGTGGTCACAGTACACACCTGCAGCTGGCTGACGTCCCCACGTGGTAAAATCTCCGTCATGAAGAGGTAGTACATGTAGGCCAGAGAGTAGAGCGCGAGAGTGAGGAAGAAGAGGGTGCGTCTCTTCCTCCGGTGCGTGGCGTAGTAATACCAGAGGACCAGGCCGGGCAGGGTTGTGAGGATGGTGATGCCCAGCAGGTAGTGCAGCGCGGCAACCCGCAGCAGGAGAGGCAGCAGCACCAGGGCCGGGATCATGGAGATCTCCAGGTTGTCAATCATGGCCCCAAGAACAGGAGACTGACATCCACTTTTAGGTGGTTTGTCTTTAAGCCACCTACAGAGCACAGCGGCCATTAGGTCATCATTACAAGAATGTGTCATTATGAATGTGGCTAATACAGTTGCAGTTTTCATTGGTTGATAATTTCTTAATAATACATAATAACTAGTGTTTTATACAGTCTAAAACCAGTGACAGTGACATAAGTAGATTTTTGTTTTAACACTTTTGAGTGTATCTTACATTGACGCTATAATGGTGCAATAAGGAAGATATTAGGTTCTCTATTTTTTACTTACTGGGGAAAATATCAGGAAAAGTTTTCTTATAATAAGGGCCAGACTAACCCTGGTTCCTGTTATGCCAGTTTTTGTGCTTTTTTGTGGCTCACAGTGTCAAATTTGCAGTGAATCAAAGTGTTAAAGAAAATCATCACTCAATCATGACTCCTGAGAGTCAGGGGTCCTGTAGCATTTGTTCACTTTTCCTGGTTTGTAATCGCTGGCTCTGTCTTGGTGACCACACATTACTGAGAGAGACCTTTAAAAGAGATATTAAACTTAATTTTAACAGAAGTGCTATTAACTAACCAGGCATCACATTGAAAACTCTTTTACTTTCCAGTACAGCACCTCAGTATATACTTGTGGCACTCAGTACTGACCCTTTGTTCCTCAAGCCCTTCATACCTGTTAAAGGCTTCATCCAGATCTTCACAGTCACAGCAACATCCGCACTGGTAGATATCACACTCACAGCAACACATAGGATCATCTGGCTCTGGAGGCTTTAACTTCTCCCATTTCATTATGGCTTGCTAAAGATGACTTTACACACTGTTATTTCAACACAAAAGGGCCAGGATTTTAAAACTTGAACTTGAGCTACACTATTACAGCACATTAGTGTAAGGAACATACCTAACATCGAAATGTAATAGTACAACCCATAACAATCCTCATAACAAAGAGTTCTTTTTTTTTTCCTGTGATTTCTGTTTTCTTTCATGGCTGGGCAATATTCTTTAATTAATATCTAAACACGCACTCTCTGTATGTTGCATACACACACACACACACACACACACACACACACACACACACACACACACACACACACACACACACACACACACACACACACACACACACACACACACATTCACATAAACATCTGATCCTAACTCACTAAACTCATCTCTCCCTAAACTGGTTCTCCAGAACCTGGTGTAAATCTAAATTTAAAATCTAAATGGTCATAAATTACTTCACATGACGCACAAAGCAAAAAAAAAAAAAAACACACACATGTATGACTGCAGTGCTGTGTCCAGATTAAAAAAAGACATGGAAACATATTTGGATTGGCAGCAATAATGCATCTACAACTTTTACTACGTATAACCATATAATACCTCTCCAATCCAACAAAACACTGTACGCGGCATTTGTAAAACCACAGAGAAGCATTACTTTACCACTGGAATCAATTTGTTCCTGTATCTTACTAAAAGATTTTCTGTTTGTTCAAATCAATCATTTCCATAATAAGAGGATTCTCAGTCATGTTACATCCCCAAGAGCTTCTCATGTAATTTCTTGAAACAAGGCCACTGTGCCCACAGGGACGAACTATCTAGGCTAACAAACCCAAAGTCCTCCAACACTCTGAGATGCACTTGAGTTATTGTCAGTGTGAGTTATTATTTTAGTCTGGTTTATAACTTGAGTCTACTAGAGCCTGACCTGCATCTATACAGGAATCAACAGAGAGAAAAAATCAGAACAGTCAGCTTTTGTCTTTTTTTGTCATGTTGTAGTTTCCTAATCAAACAGTGTGACTTTATGTCAGACTGCTTTATCTATTAACACTATCACTATCACTATTACTTACAAAAAATACTTTTCTAGCTCTGTTAACAGGAAAATCCACCTCCACAAAACCAAGATAAACCATCTCTCTATTGACTTACCTTTTGTCTCTGCAACAAAAGTATAAAACCATCGGTACACGTTGGCTGAACTGTCAGATTTACTCTTTCCAGGCAAAAGTTATGTGATCTTCATCAAGAGGAAAAATGATTAAGAAGCCGACCCCTTGTCACCGAGCTCCTGCTGTGAATGAGTGAGGGAGAAAAATGAAAACAGGAGCCTCGTTTCTCATCAGTCATTTGTGTTGAAAAAGGAAATTGGCAGGTTTTCTGCTCTGGTGTTGCTGCGGCGACACCGAATCAGTGCAGTGAGATGGTTTTCATTTCTTGGATTCCCGCGGTGGAAGCGTCCCAACAGAAGGCAACTAGGATTCCTCCTGACAAGTGGTTTGATATGGTGTTGCATCTACCAGCTCGCTTTTCCAAAGACTACCTTCCTCACATATCATTAAATACTTCACAAGTCGTCCTCTAGCATACTCAGCCTACTTCTGCTTTATAGCTCCTATCAGTTACCATTTTAGGCTTTAATTCTGGCATGCTTGGTAAATATAGGTGCTACCTCAACTGGCTGCGGGAGCCAGAGAGCCAGGAGTCTTTCATACCTCTTCCCACAGCTGAGGGGTTGAGGTGTTCAAAAACTGCAACAGCAGCCCTGATAATCCACGCTCAGCTGGACAAGGGTGCATGAGAAACATGACAGGCACTCAAAGATGAGAGAGCGAGCAATGATCCACAGGGCAGCCCCACCCTCTGGGATCATATTTCCACCCACAGGCAACCTGATCCTGCTGCTCACACACAGAAAACTCTGGAAGGGTGTGTGTGTGTGTGTGTAAAAGCAATGTAGCTGGTTAATATGAGTTTGTGTTTCCATACATTACACTCTTTGTACGACATTTGTGACAACATTGGAGTCTAACAGTGACAACGTGATAAGTGATCCCTGCGGGGAAGTTTTCTTTTCTGTTGACCTGCCTGCGGAGGGTCAGAGTCCAGGGTCAAATACATATCAGCTGCCCTGCACCTCTTAGGAACTTGGACTCAGATTCTTGTTCATGAACACTTCTGCAGAGAGCTTGTAAGCTGACTCAGGAGCTTCAATCCAGTCTTTAAAAACAAAATAATGCACTTATTTTGGTGGTAGAAAAAAAAGAAGAAGAAATATGGATCATTAATGTGTAATAGAGGCCAGCTTTAAAAAAAATTCTGTGCATCTGAACTGACGGCTTTGGGAAAACACCCTGAATTGAAAACCAATGCTGCATTTGCAGGAGTCAACTGTTGGATAATATTAGAGACCGGATAGCCAATAATAACTTTCACAGACTACAATTGAAGTAATTAAATTAGCACTTTGTCAGTCTATTTTCTTTGAAGTGGACAGATTGCGAGTTCATTGGTAACAAACGACAGGTGAACTTCAGCGACAGGCGCACGAAAGTCGCACAATAGATTGGATTAGATTTGAAGGCAGACACAAATGTGTGTGATGGCACCTGCTCTCCTCCACTTACACGAGTAAACCCATATAAAGTTCTGTTAATGTGCTCTTTATATACACGCATACACGCATGCACGCACGCACGCACGCACGCACGCACGCACACACACACACACACACACAGCCCATCAGTCATTCAGTCATTACAAACTGAAGAATAAGAGAAAGACAGGTGCATTATAAAATATAGGCTGGTATATTCTGAGACCACTGAAACCTCTTAATGTGTGCACTAGTGTGAGTCTGGATGGACTGAATCAATGCAGAGAGAAGATGCTGCTCTTGCTCCTGAGGGTTACGCTTCCATTAGTCTTGATGGAGCCCGGAACCCGAGATACTGGCTCTAATCTATTTTGGAGGAATTAATGCTGTGTCGTAGACAAAAGACCGAGCCAACAGTGCATGATGGAGATTACACATCAGCAAACTGCAAAGATGCTGTAGTTGCAAAAAAGTAAGCATGATGAGTGAATGCGGTCACTGTATTTCTATAGAAAAGCGGTTTTCTCCTCACAGATGAGACAGGAAACAGGAAAATAACCCAGTTATCCACCTATAAAAGGTTGCTTCTGTACTTTTTCACCAGGCTTCATTTCCCAACATTACCTGTGTAATCTGTGTGTGTGTGTTAAATGATCAATTCAGTCAATTTTTCCAATTTATTCATATTTATCAGGTTACACAAACAGCAACATAAGTTTTAAGCTGAGTTGTTTGTATTTCACAAAGTTGTGTACTGTTGAAGGGCTTTGGCTTTATTGTGATAATGCATGTGTGTTTACATTTTCTAAGGATCTTCTGTTTTTCTTCTGTTTTTAATTTATTTATAAAATATTTTTTTTGCAGTTTTCCTAACTCATCGATTTGCTTCTTCAACATCCACTTCAAGGTTTTCCAGAGCCAACAACATCTGCTATGATATTAATAATTTCAGTCTGATTCAACAATAAGTCCTAAACTTCCTCATGACATTGTCTCTGGGTTTAAGGATTTCAATGACACCACATATGTTTTATAGGGAGATAAGTATAAAATGACATGTGATGTTTAAAATATTTGCATCTGATGTGACAGTGCAGCCATAAAAAGTTACTAAATTAAAAGCTACTTCTACAAAAGCTGCAAAAAATGCATTGATAGGGAAGCACTAGATTTCAGCAGGTTAATCAATACTCACCCTGAAGCATTATAGCAACATGTGTGCCACCTAGAGGTGAGAGTCCTTCAGGTGAGAGTCTAAATATCTGTGTGTTCATGATGTTGCAGCACTCACACACTCTCACGTTCAGCTGCTTCAAAGGTAAAAGACAGAAGATTTTAAAAGTTATATTAAACAGTGAAAAACAAATTTAACTAGCTCACCATGAATTGAATAAGAAAACAAAACACAACTCTGCACAAGATAAATAAAATCTTCCTGACACAATGAACGTCCGTAATTTAACATTTATTTCAGACATCAGTAATGTACCACGAATATAACATTGAGACATCTGTTACAACACAACTCTAACAGACTCATTCATTCACATTTTTTTTTTTTTTTACATATAGTGTCAAGTATATAGTCCACAACATCACTATCACACTTAAGAGGTAAGAGGTGGAAGAATGCTTTAACCCCCCTGATGTAACACAGCGCATCTGTCCCTTTACCCATGTGCGTGTTCCCATTGGATTAATAATTTGTATTTATCACCGTCACATCTGGTGGAAAAGAAACATCCCTTTCCATTCTTTGTTGCAGCTAGTAGTTGCATGCAAGTGCAGCACCTGATTGGGGCCCTCTGATTTTAACCACAACACGATGGTGTCATGATCTATAAGTGCTCTGTAATGGGCTGAGTGAAGCTGCTGTCAAACAAAATGCAAATTTGTCCAGGTCATTTGTCATGGAATGTTTAAAGGGACATAAACACCAAGGAAGAAAGGAGATCACATGACTGAGGCAGACACTCACAACACGGGCCGTTTAATCTGCACTATGTTGCACTGCACTGGGGTTTGGGTATTTGGGAGAGGAGCTCAGAGGTAAGAAACTCATTCCTCCAGGGTCCGGAAGGAGTTCTGCATGTCCTCCAGCAGCTGAGCAAAGTCTGCTTTGATCTTAGCTTCGCCATCCTTCACAGGGTCCTACAAAATCCATTGAACATAAACAGGGATTACGTCAACAGAGAGCAAATTACTCATCTTGAGCGATGAAAAATAGGGCAAATAAAAAAAGAAAAATAGAAAACACAAACATGATCAACAAATTAATCTCCTCTAAAAATGAGGGGACAGTCCCGTACCTTGAACTTCATGGAGCTGATCTTGTACAGGATCTCTCCCATGTGCTCCCTGATCATGGCCCAGGTGATTTTGTTGTCACTCTGTGCAGTGGACTCCACCGCGTGTCGGGCCATGTCGTAGAAAGCTATTGTGTTGGAGAGGATGCCAACGGTTTTGTAGAAGGGGCAGAACCTGTGTGTACGGACAGAAGAATGTGTGAAGCTCCTAAGTTTTACAATAATCAACTGAGGGAAAAATATTTAGACCTCTCCCCTTCACATCTAGTCATGACTGGATGTTGCTGTCTTGCTTTATATCAAATTAAAAGGACCACATTCGTTTTTCTACCGTTTCCACAGAGATCACTGATGGTGTCTCAAAGTGCATCAGTTTCTAAGCTCTAGTTTCTGAACAGTTATCACTTTGCTGTTGCTCATGGCAATTTCTTCTAGAAATGTTCTTGAAAGGGACTTCAAAATGAACCCTTTTTTGTCCTCAGCTGTTGTGGAGAAAACAGAGTAGCTACAGGATTTCATATGTTTAGTGTGGATTTTAAAAAGAATGCAAAGCTGGGGAGAGACAAATTCATACCTTCTGAATGGAAAAGATACAGTATGTGTTTTGAGGTTGGTAAGACGTCTTGTTTTCACCTGTCGTAGGGGGTATAGCCGTTCTGCTGCAGGAAGTCGTCCTTAATGAGCTTAGCAACTTCTAGGGTGATCTTGTCAGTCTCAGCGAGGGAGGCCTGTCGACAGAACCAGAAGATCAGCCCCCTGCAGATTAGCCAGGTTGGTATGCAAACTATTTAGATGATTAATGAAACAGCTGTGACAGAAGCCTCTTCTATAAAACACAGGTTTCAAACATTATCTGGCTATAAAAAAAAAAATATATAGAAATGATAGAACATTTACAATTTGGCAGTTTTGTCCACAGATACAGACTGTCACTTGTACTAACTTTATTTAAGATGTTTCGAGCCTCTCAACATCATCAGGTAACATTTAAAACTGTGAAACAGATCTGGTACCATTGGACGGCGCCAGCAGCACCTCCTGGGCATCCATACAAATTCATTTCAATGAGCTCCTTTAATTATAAACAGGGATGTCTGTCTATATGAATTTGACCTGATTAAAGGTCATATTTTGTATAAAGTGAGACGTCCATGTCTTTTTTAATGATAAAGTAGGTCTAGGTTCTATATTAATACTGTGAAAGAATCAAAGTGCTCAGTCAGTCAGAGAAATGCACACAGCCTGTATTCAGAAAGCCTTAAAATGAGCCGTCAGGACTTCTGTAACTTTGTGATGTCACAGCAAATCAGTCACCGCTCTCAGCCATGCCCCAAACCCAGCCCACCTGGACCCACCATCCAACCTTGCAGGATTTGGTTTGAGTGTTTACCTGAAATCTATTTCTATTAGATCACTCAGAAAACAGTCAGCCAATCAGAAGAGAGATTCAGAGCCTCTCTTTTCTATATGAACTACAAATACTTTTCTGCATTTCACAGGTATTGATACAACTCTTTAGTTACTTTTGAAGTCACATGCTTTATACCACATTACATAATCTTAATCTGCCTCACCTTGCCTACAAGCTGCACGATTTCAGCCAGGTCCTCCTCCTCCTGTAGAATCTCTTTGGCTTTTGTGCGCAGAGGAACAAACTCAGGATAGTGTTTGTCATAATATTCATCCAGAGCTCGTGTGTACTTGCTGTAGCTAATCAGCCAGTTTACAGAAGGGAAGTGTTTTCTCTGAGCCAGCTTTTTGTCCAAGCCCCAGAACACCTACAAACAAGCAAACAACGAATACTGACAGTCATGCAGAATGATGCACAAAGAAAGAAATGCTGACTGCAGGGAGAATTAAGTGAAATGTTAGGATGCCCCATTACTTACCTGAACAATTCCCAATGTGGCTGAGGTGACAGGATCTGAGAAGTCTCCACCAGGGGGCGACACACTAAGAAGAATTTACCATATTAAAAGGAAAAAGTCAGTCTAATAATTGAAAATTGCATGCTGAGGTTTATTCTGATTGGCTGCCTACTTTTTATATTCCCATGAAAAAGCTTCCCAGGAAAAATGTGAAATAAATCATGAGGTCTTGACATCAAAGACCTTTTCAACATTTCACTGAAATCTTCAGAAATGGTACAGACAAAAATCCAGCTCAGAAATGGTAAAGCCAGTAATTTCACCAGCAAAGCAGCTTCAATAATACAACATGCAGCCTCTTTTGAACATTTGATTTCCTACCATCCACTGTTTTTAGTTCGTTATATGATGCTGTGAAAATAAACTTGCAGAAAACTGAGGCTTGGATTGTGAAGGAGCTCTGTGTGTAGCAAGGAGTAGGAAGTTACTTTAGAAACTGGGTCAGCTTGGGAAATATGCAGGGTGCAGTGATAGTAGTAGTAAGTACAGGCATTTAATAGGTAAAGTGCTAAAATACATATGCAATGTATGGAAACTTGATGCAACTACTGGAAGCTGATTTCAATATGTATGTGTTGAAAGGATGATGAAAAAAAAACAAAACAAAGAGCTTGACATGATTTTCCCTGCTTATGTGCAAGTCAACTCACGCTCCTACGATGCTGACGCTGCCTTCTCTCTCTGGATTTCCCAGGCACTTCACACGTCCAGCGCGCTCGTAGAAGGAGGCGAGCCTGGCACCCAGGTAAGCAGGGTAACCGCTGTCTACAGAGGACGACATACAAGACTGTAACTGGTTGGCAGAAAACTGTCGCAGCTGCTTTCCTGACAGCGTCTTCACAAAAAAAAAGTAATATCACATGTAACCGACGGACTTACCAGCAGGCATTTCAGCCAATCTCCCAGAGATTTCTCTCAGTGCTTCAGCCCATCGAGATGTCGAGTCGGCCATCATGCTCACATTATAACCCATATCTCGGAAGTATTCGGACAATGTGATACCTGCAAAGGCGATTGTGCACAATACATGAAAGTGGATTTAATGGATTCTCCAAACAACTGCAAATATGAAAAAGGCAAAGGCGTTTACTTAATGTTAGCCACTTCAACAACATTCAAATGTAGTAGCATTTAAAATAAACAATAACACTGTTCCCTATAATGTGAATGGTTGGCACCTGTGTAAATGGAAGCCTCTCTGGCAGCCACAGGCATGTTGGATGTATTAGCGACCAGTGCTGTTCTCTTCATGATGCTCTCAACCTTGCCATCGACTTCCATAGTAAGCTGTCGGGCGAGAGCAGTGTTAACATTATACAACGTGAACACTGGTGCTGCTGAACATGAAATTCTTCCCTCCCTTTACTTGTTTATTCTGTTTTATCTATGTTATATCTGTGCACAGTCCCAGAACAGTGCACAGATATAGATATATGGCAGAAATCCACTAACCTCAGGGAAATCCCGCAGCACCTCAGACATTTCGTTTCCACGCTCTCCGCAACCGACATAGATAATCACGTCACTGTTGGAATACTTGGACAACGACTGAGAGATCACCGTTTTTCCGCAACCGAAGGCTCCTGGTATAGCAGTGGTGCCGCCCTGCACGCAACTACACAGCACAAAAGTTTCATGCAGCTTACAGATTTTATCACACGGCATAAAATAAGTGGCTCCACACATGTGAGCAATCACCAGTCAAAGACTCACGTTATCAGTGTAAGAGACAAAGCACAAGTTAAAATAGAGACTAAAGTCAAAATGGTAATTTTGAGGTGAAAAGCTCAATCTAAAAGAAAAAGGGATGAAGTGTATATAAAGTATTGTAAAATACACTATAGTTTCTGATACATCTACATACAGATTTCTTGCCTCCACAACTGAGAGCCAATCGTTTAACGTCTGCAGTAATGAAGGTAAATGAGGGCATCATTTTATCCTGAGAGGATTACTCACGGGAAAAGTGCGTCCAGAACTCTTTGACCAGTCAGCAGCGGATGATTCGCAGGTAGTTTCTCCGTTACTGGGCGGATTTGTCGTACCGGCCACACCTGCACCATGGTGAACTTCTCCTTCACGCCTTCAAATTCAAGCTCCAGAACCACATCCTGAATGCGACAAGATCAGAAAATCGGTTTCCTAGAAATGGTGATCAAACAGAGGAGCGCTTTGATTCACGACAAACACTCACAGAAATGTCGTAGTTTCCAGGTGGGGCCAGGTAGGTCACGGTGCCTCTGTTGCGAGGTGGAAGCATCAGCTTGTGTCTGATTAAAGAGTTTTCAAACACCATGCCATAGATGTCGCCACCTGTCATGTGACTGCCAACCTGGAGAGGGGGGTCATGTGAAATTAGTCAGAACAGTTGCAGAGGAGAGACGGCCAAGTCCGCACCGCACCGACAATGTACTTTTCTTACCCGAAGACTCTGGCCAGGGGAAAATTCCCATTTGATGTCTCTGTTAAGAGCGCCGATATTTACTCCTCTTGGGATATAGATACTTTTATTGATGTCATAGATGTCTTTTAGCGGGCGCTGGATACCGTCAAAGATGGAGCCCATGATTCCTGGTCCCAACTCTACAGAGAGGGGTTTTCCTGTTCGCAGGACAGGATCACCAACAGACACACCGGCTGTAGCATGAAGTTAGGAAAAACAAAACAAACTGCAAGCACTTTGACAACATTAGTCTTGTTATCAAAGTCAGATTCCCATTTGTTATCAGTAAGGTAGCTCTAAAATGAGTCTTTTGTAAAATGCATTATGTGAAACCAGTTTTAGGAAAGATAATGACGTGTTTTGTTACATGTTTTACTACAGAGAAACGTAACGTGGCAGCAGAAAGGATACAAGTCTCCTCATAGACCTGGATAGTTGCCATGTCTCCCTCTAAACGGATGATTTCTCCCACTAGCTCACTGTGACCGACACGAACCAGCTCGTACATGGCTGCTCCTGCCATCGCAGTAGCTGTCACCACTGTTGACGGGTTCGGTTTGAAAACAACAGGAAAGACAAATATAGAAATTGATACAATAAAAAAAAAAACACATCTACTGACAAGGAATATGATGAAAATGATCAAAAATAGCATTAGCACCACTTAGGGATGGAGATATTATGATATACACCAGAAAATGATATAAAATTGTGTACTATCAGAATTTTTTTAATATAACCTATGAATCCCTGGCAGCCGTCCCTTTAATATATCTCAGTGTAATGGGCCATTGTAGGCAATTATGCATTATGGTGACCATAGATTTTAGTATGATTTTACTGAATTCTTTCTTGATTCGTCAAGTATTTAAAAAAAAAAAAGAACAAAAAAAAAAACAGAAAAAGAAAACTACCATCTGATTGTTTTATTCATATACAGTTTCTCAACTGATCAAATTCACAATATCACCTTGGACATCATTATAAATTACATTTAGTGATAGAGGATTTTGTCCATATTGCCAACTTGTAGTGAAAGCCACAATACTGTAAAAGGTTATCAAACACAGACATTTAAACCTTTCCTACCCTATGGCAGCTGGAACAAATGGCTTACAGTTCAGTGGCTTTTGACCAGTCTGACACAAAATAATGCAATCCAGTCATTTAAAGAAAAGGGTAATAAACCAGACCTGGTCCAGAAACCCCATGTACATATCCAAACTGGCTCTCTCGCTCTTCATCCTGGATCCTAGGTAGTTTTGACGTATCCATCTTGATCGTCTCTGTCCTGAAAAATCCCTTGAGGAATGAATGAATGAATGTGAGACAGAGATGTCATCAAGTTTTGAAAACTCGCAGCAGACAAAATTTCAACATCACAACATGCATTGACAGACCTCCTCCTAGATGATGATGATAATGATGACGATGAAGATGATGATGATGATAATCTACATCATCATTATCATCATCATCATCATCATCATCATTCTAGCCAGGCTAAAGTTATAGATGCAAATACACACTCTGACTTAACACACCACGATGAAATGGGCATTTATAGCAGAGAATGTCTGCACAGTAATGAAATGAATGGTCAGGTGTAGCAGTGTGAGGTCAGTCAGCTGTAGGGAAGTCAGCCAAAGCATCAAATCCTTTAATATATTTCACCCGGTGTCGAAGAGAGGGTAACGTTAAACCAAGTTACTTGTGCACGTATGGGGATATGTGTTGTAGCCAGATGGCAGCTTTATGTTTGTTACTACACACACGTAGCGTCGAGAGAAAAGCTGATTTGTGCGTGTGCGCGTATAAGTCAGGTGACTAGCTAGCAAACACTAGCTGTCTTCATCATTATCATCATCATCACGTACAGGTTAAGTAAAACTATCGAATATTAACACAGTGTTTCGTCCAAGACTGGAAGGAAATCTCAAACTGTTGTAAATCCAAAACCTCATATTATACCGCTGTTATAAATGTCTTACCTTATCTTGCTGTGCAGTTGTCCAGGATTGTCTCTGGCGTAGCTGAGGAGGAGCTTCGCTGTGCTAATCACCTGCCAGGCACTGGACTGTCACAGGAAGAAAACATCTCCATTGCGGCTCAACGGGCTTCCTCCGCTCTGACCTGATTGGCTATTTGTAGAGCCAACATGGCGTCTGATACTCAACAGTTGCCTAGTGGACGATAAGTTCCGCCGGTCTACACACCGTCACCAGGTGCCACGACTGCCCTCTGCTGGATATAAATTAAACATTCACCCCAATTAACCGACTGATGATTGATAATAGTTTTTAAATAAATTAACCAAGCTACAACCATGGACGAACAATGGGCCCCTCGACACAGATATGTTAAAGCCCCGTCAACATACCCTGACTGGAATATGTTTGTGGTTGTTTGCTTAACGTTGCGGTGATTTTGTGCGTCTTTGTAGCTGTTTTGCATCTCTTTGTTGTTGTAGATAGATAGATAGATAGATAGATAGATAGATAGATAGATAGATAGATAGATAGATAGATAGATACTTTATTTATCCCATAAGGGAAATTCATGTGTCCATTAGCTCATTGTGGATATTAATAATAATGATAATAATAATAATAACAGTTGATAATAAATAAACAATAATAATTAGATTAATCCACTTCCTTTGGCTGAGGTGTTGTATAGCCTCATGGCAGTGGGAACAAAGGATCTCCCGAACCTCTCTGCTCTGCAACGCAGTGAGGCTGAGGTGTTGTATAGCCTCATGGCAGTGGGAACAAACCTGCTCTGCAACACAGTGAGATGAGATGTTTGCTGCACCTGTAGCTCCTTCTCTGTCCTGCCAGAATGTTGTGGAGAGGGTGGTTGGTATTGTCCAAGATGGCCTCCATCTTACATTGCATGCGTCTCTCCACAACAGTCCTGAGTGAGTCCAGACTCTAAGCACAGACCCAGCTTTTTTTACCAGCTTATCCAGTCTCTTTGTGTTTGTGTCTGACATGCTGCTGCTAAAGCAGACTGCAGCATACAAGACTACGCTGGCCACCACTGACCGATAAAACGTGCAGCATTTCACTGCAGACGTCAAAGGACCTGAGCTTGCTGAGGAAAAAGAGCCGGCTCTGCCCCTTCTGGTAGATGGCATCCATGTTCAGGGACCAGTCCAGTTTACTGTCCAGGTGCACACCTAGGTAATTATTGTGTCGTGTCTCTTTGTGGTCAATTAGGTCTAGTCTCTCTTTGTTGTAGTTTTGTGTCCCTATAGTGGACTAACTGATTTGCCAAGAATAAATGTTACTTCAAACAGAGGCTCTGGCTCTCTGGGCCTGTGCCGGGTAGGCCTGTTCAGTAATCCTTCCATGGGTAAAACTACTTTATCATTACAACTTTAATCTATTTGTTAGCCTCCTTGGCTGACCGCTTTTACAGTTTACCTGGGTAATAACCATGTAATTTATTATGCTTCTACATGGCAACTTTTATAACTATATTTGATACATTTGTGCCAATAACTGTTACATAATTATAGACCTATACATATAGTAGAAAAAAATCTTGTATTCAGTTTCCTCCAGCCATTGAGTGGCATCTCTTATGAGCTAACCAGTTACCATTGTGATAAATAACTAATTGAAAAATACATCACACCTACTATCTACCTATTATTTGGTTTACTATTATGACCAAAGCCAAACACTGATTATCCAGTGCGCATTGGCCTCCGACCTCTAGGGGGCCTCCAAACCAGCTGGCATCATGCTGGCTTTGCTTTTTTATTATTGTTATTTTTTAATCAACTCAAATAAATGAATCGAGTGCACGTGTTTTGAAATGCAAACCGATGAATGTAGAGTTACTTTATTTGCTGATAAGTATCTGTATCATGATGATAATAGTTTTGAACATGTGACCTTTGTACAGAGGAATTTGTGTCACCAGTAGAATGCTGCAGGAGAACAGAACAGCAGAATTAGAACCGGCTGCTGTTCTGCCCGTTCTGACATCACAATGGGAATGGGCAGATCTACAGGTGGACACAGTCCCTGCGTCATTCCCACATCAACCATTGGAGAGGTAAGACCATTATTTAGCTGGGACCAAATGTTTCTGTTTTAACTTGAATTTATATGTTTAATAGAACTGTGTTGTGTTGAAGAATAAGTACATTTACTTTCTCTGTGTTTATCAGTCGAGTAAATGACTTTTTCCCTTGGTTACATTGCAAACAACAAGCTGTGTTTGCAAACAAGCTGTAATCAGAAGATGTAAAATGACGTGCACAATGAAGTTTCCACTTGTAAACTTTGCTTTACTTATGGCTTCAGTTGCCTTTGTTCAAACTTGACTGAATTTAGTCCTTTTTTTTTGCACAAGAGCAAAATTCACATCGACTGAATAGTTTCTCTTCCTTTCACTTCACTTCACTCCTTTCTCTTACATAAAATACAAAAATCATTTGATGCACCAGTAACAGCAATACTCAGTTGTGGATATAATAATTTTCCAACTTATTTTTAATACTTGATGTGAACTTAAAATAACAGTATTGTATTTTAGGTCTTTGGGTTTTTAGTGACATTTTTTGCAGCATCTTTTACATGTTTGTTTATCATGTACAGAGTCATGTCAAGTATTGATGGGAAAAATGCTTCTCAGTTCAGTTCCCAGTTCTTACTGGTTGAGTAAGAAAGTTTAGTTAAAGAACCTGCTCAACATGTTTGGGTTTTTTTTTACAATTACAATGCCCTGTTCTGTTCAACCATCGTTTACGAGACCCTGGTTCCTTGGAGATTTGTGCTCCTCCTTTAAAAGAAGGAAGTGCAGCCGAAGAGCTGAGAGGCTTCGAGTAGCAGGGAGATGGGCGAAGTCTTGTTTTTGCACCTGTCCAATAAGCAGCGCTAGTTTAAGCTCAAATACTTTGATGTGGGAATACATGTCAGATTAGTTTTCCCTTGCCTTGGAGCTGCAAGTTGAGGCCGTTTAAAATTTCTGACACATCTGTTAATAAAGGCGAGGTCCCATTTCCATTCTGTGTCGATCAGCTCTGGGACAGTTTTTCCCTTTGTCAGGAGAAAGGCATTGATTTCGGGTAGCAGGTCGTAAAAACGCTTCAAAACTCTGCCCCGGCTTAACCAGCGGACTTCAGTGTGGTAAAGCACGTCTCCGTGGGCTGATTCTAGCTCGGAGAGAAAGGCTTGGAACTGCCTGTGTTTAAGTCCATTTGCTCTGATGAAGTTTATGCAGGACACAACCACCTTCATGACAGATTCCCACCTCAGAACTTTGCAGCTTGACGCTGGCTCGGTCACGATCAAAGTCACGTCAGAATATACCATTGTGTGAGGAGGTGAAGATGAGCCACTATTAACTATAAATAGCTCATAACTATGGTCAATTTTAATTAGAATGCCAACCTTTAAGTACGGATATGTTATGATGTTATGATAGGAAAATGCAATTTAATAAAAATTGGTTGATGTTTAGAGGGATTGTCTGCGATCGTTAAGTGGGCCACTCCAATTGCTTTGGCGGGCCGGATGTGGCCCGCGGGCCGTAGTTTGGGGACCCCTGCTCTATACTGACAATGGAGTCGCAAGTCGTCAGAGACCTGGACTGTAATGATGTGGTGGAGTTTCCGAATAGAAAGGCCAGAAGAAGACGTCAAATGAGGTAGGCTTTCTCTTATATTATTTATTCACACATTATGAAATATCCTAATTTACTCTCCAAGGTGTTTATACAATGAGAAGTATCTGGCATTAGTTGTCATTGGAGAACATTTGGCTGTTGTATAATTGCGTCTCTGTGCCTGGATGTGAGATTATGGTGGAAATCTTATATGATAGAGGTTACACATATTATTTGTTTTAAGTCTACCCACCCAGAGCAGTATGAATCGGATCACTGTGTGTGTGTGTGTGTGTGTGTGTGTGTGTGTGTGTGTGTGTAATCAGAACTGTATTGATGGAGGTGGGGCAGTATGTGCATACCTATGTCATTCTGCTGCATGCTGTTGGCCAGTGCATTGATATTCTTGCTGCTGGCCCAGGAGGGTATTGTTGCAACCATGTGGTGTGAATCCTGTATGATAGAACATATCTGCAGGTGTTGATATTGTCATTCAGGTTGTGATCATAGGCTGTTGCCTGGGTGCGTAAGTCCTGTATAAACTACAGGTGTTTCCAACAGATAGTTGCCTCTGCTGAAAATCTATTCAAAACCTGGATTGTGGGTCTGTGGAGGGGGCCTCCAAGATTTTTTGGCCGGGGGCCTCCACATTCTTACTCTGATCCTGACTGTAGCTATAGAAGATTTTGGTGTCCAGTATCTAAGAGAGTTTATGTTAAAAATGAAGATAAGGAGAATAAAAAAAAAGATAAAAGCTGGTAAAGGAGGAGACACTAATAACACAAGTATCTGGCTAATATTAAAGAAATTTAATTATATGTCAACATTTTCAGAGACATGACAAAAAATAATTTAATGGCAGAACAAAATTATTCCCAAATACACATACTGTGGGACAGTGAAATGTCACAACTTGAGGTAGAAATGACAACATAGCTATCTAATAGAATTATTCATGAAACACTGACATAATATAGGGAGGGGTACATTTAGTTCAAAATATTATCAGGAATATGTAATTCCATAAAATGATCAATATAAATACCAAATTTTATTTTATATCATTCATGAATAATATGCCTTTTTCTGAAGACATTTTGGGTTATTAGGAAAAGCACAGGAGTTACTAATAACTTTAATGATAGCTCACATTTCATCAATGGTAGAAAACTAAACATTTATTTATAATACAATTAATCCGGTTTTGAAAACTGTACAAGATGCACATGTATACATTTACCTGATGAAAAATGAATGTGGCAGCACAGTTTTAATAGTACAAGAGGAAATTAATAGTACTGGCAGCAGTGGCGTGGTAGAGCCCACAAGATGGAGCCAAAGAGTGATTCACAAATTTGCTTAATTTGCACTGAAGGTCTAATAAATCAAAACATTCACCATTTGCTACATTTTGTTTTTGGTCAGTCTGACCACTCGTTTCCGTCCAGCTCAGAGT